GGGCTGGCACCATAGGAAGGGGGGAGTCAGGGACCCCAAGGTGGGGGCCTGTCGGAGGATGGAAGAGGGTATCCAGGGACATCTGATGGGGTCACAACCTGACGGCTTCGCCCTGTGTGGCTTGAGTAACGGCCTTCCTCTGGCCAGCTGACCTCTTGCCCACCTCCTGTCTCAGGCCAGCTGGGCTCCAAGTCCCACAGGCCCACCCCCTGCAGGTGCCTAGTCCCCAGACCATCTCCTGGCACTCACGGCTACTCTTGCCATCATGGTGTGGTGGCTGCAGGTAACCATGGGGCAGAGTCAGGTGCTGGGGAAAGGGTGACCCAGGCCTGGAGTACTGGCAAGGAGACAAAACGTCCGAGAGACAGTCTGAGCGTGGGGCGGGCCCTGAACTACCGGCCCTGAGCAGTCAACGGGACCCCAGGCCTGTCGCCTGCACCCGGAGTGAGCAGGAAGGAGACCCTTGGGGGAACTGGCATCCCTGTGTCTGTGGGGGCTTCTTGTGTGGTGGCCAGGTCCTGCAACCACTCCAGCCTCCCCACTTCCAGGGCCAGGGGACCTTCCACTGTCTGGAATCCCCCTGCCCTGGTGCCTCCGATCACCTGGCCCCTCCTCCTTGCCTGGATGCTGACCGCCCCCCAACCCAGCCTCCAGGTGGGCCTCCGTGGGGCGTCTGCCTCCATCCACCTCTGCCCTCCTCCTGCTCTGAGCCCCCCACCCCGCCACCATCCCTCCAGACAGGCCTCTCTCTCTGCACTTTAGATCACAAGCTGCAGGCCCCCAGACCCCAAGCACCTGCCTCACCTTACCTCATGCTCTCCTTACAGCTCCCGACCAGGGGCTCTGGGAGGGCCCAGGAAACACATGGGCCCGGACATGGGTCCCAGACGTCCTTAACCCCTGCAGGGCCAGCTGTGCAGCCCTGGCGCGGGAGACCAGGAGGTGAGCAGTGAGTGGCCCCCAGTGCCCCCTCTGTCCCTGTCACATGCACACACCCTCCACCGTGCACCCAGCCAGGCTGCTGAGTCACGGGAGATTCCCTGGGTGCCCTTCGAGGGACAGCGAGTCACATGGTGGCAGCAACCACTGGGCTCTGGCCAGACTGGGTGTTCCTGGACAGGTGCACAACACACGCATATGCACATGCTGTCACACAGGTTCACACACACACACACATGTAGTCACAGACTCACACAGGCACACGTACACACACAGGAGCACACACATCACCCCCACACTGACACACATGTGCACTCCGATTCATAGACTCACACAGGCGCACACACATGCACACACAGATGTAATCAGACTCGCACGCACACGTCTGTGGCCTGATCATCCACCTGGCCATCTCAGAGGGGAGACGGGGGGGGGGGGCCCGCCAAGTGGCCTGGCCTGGGCTGGAGCTGGGACTCTGGGGCCCTCCATGGCCCAACCCAGCCCTTGACAAGCTCCAGGGCTGGTCATGGGTCACCTCTGCTCTTGGGGCCTCCAGTGGGCCAGAGTGGAGGCGTGGGAGCCATGTGTCCCAGCTAGAGAAGCAGGCCCGGGGCCTGGGTAGCCTCCCCTCCCTGCCCTCAGGGGGAAGTATGGGGCGTGCCATGCGGCAGGGGCACCTCCCAAGGCCTGCAGGACCAGGTCCCTCAGCTGGGGGCTCCCCTGATGCATCCCCAGACTCCATTCAGTAGCCCACTCCTCTGAACTCTAGCAGAGACACTAGGACCCCACCCAAGCACTCGCAACCATGTCTGGAAACTGTTCCAACTTACGGTGGCCCTCAGCCTGGAAGGGTCCCCAGGTCCAGAATGTCTGGGTGTCTCTGAGAGAAAGAACCCTTTGAACAGGCAGGGAGAGGGCTGGGAGTCTTGTTCCGTGGGGTGAGGTGTCCCCTCATGCATGCTCCCTAGAAAAGGGGTGCCTCAGCAGGACCTAAGTCACGGATGGCGCCTGACACCCCCCCTCCGGCGTGTCTCCAGGCCCCATCTTCTCCGAACATGCCGCCTCACTGGACAGGAAAGTGAGGCTCAAAGCACCCTGATGCTCTCAGGGCAGAGCTGGGGGGGCCGAGGTTCCGACCCTGGGTTGGAGGCAGCCCCTGCCTGGCCCAGTCCAGTGGTATCCCGGGACCAGGGCTTCCGCAAACCCCATGGGCCTGTCCCCGCACATAGCTGATAGTTCCAGGCCACCGGCCTCTGAGTGGGGTCTGCCCAACTCCTCTAGCACCGACTCCTTACCTCTCCCACTTGCTGGGGTGACCAGTGGGGTAGAGACCCCTGAGCCCAGGAACACAGTGGAGGGGGTGCACCTGTCCCGGCACCGGGTCTGGCTCAGGGTGGGGCAAGGAAGTGGACAAGGGCCTGGAGAGCCACCCAACTCCCCATGCAACCCCCCCCAAAGCCCCAGGGCCAGGGTGGGACCCAGCAGAGCAACTCCCGGGCCTGGAGTGCCCATGATGGCAGTGCGCCCTCCGCCGCAGCCGCAAAGCTGGTTTCGCCCCGTCTGTGGAAGAGAGGCAGCGGCAAGGGCTGCGTGTGGTGTTGGTCAGAGATGCAGCTGTCGAGGTGCCTCCTGCACCCGTGTGGCCCCACCAGGTAAGGGGCCTGGGCCTGAGCCTGCCTCCCCTGCTGGGAACACCCAGACGATCCACCCCAAGAGGAACTGACTCGAGGGCCTGCCGGGGGTCGGGGGAAGGGCCGTGAAGTGCTGGGGAGGCTGGCCCTCTGGAACCCTACAGGACGCCGGGCCGGAGGCCCACTGTGTACTTGCAGCTCAGGACTCCGCCAAGGCCGCCTGCAAGTCATGCGCTAGTGGCTGGTGACTGCTCTCCTCTGGATGCAAACTCGGCTGTGGCCTGTGCACCCCTTGGCTGCCTAGCTCTCTGTCCCTGCTCCCTGCCACCTTCCCGGACCATGGGCCAGCTCAGCACTGAGGTGCTGCTACAAGGTCCCGAGCCCCCTGCAACGTCCCACCTGCCCTGACCTCCCCAGGCACTGGGCTACCTCAGCCAGCATGGCCAGCCCTGACTGGATCTCTCCCCAAGTCCTGCTCCTCCCAGGGCCGGGCCATGCTGGTGTCCAACCCTGGGCGTCCCCCACGCAGGGGGTGTCTGTGGGGCTCAGTGACAGCTCGAGACCCCACCTCAGGGGTGGTTTGTCGTGAAACCGCCCTCCTCTCTAACCCTGCAGTGTCTTGACCACACCACCCACCCAAGGGACCAGCAGGACATCGGCCCACACGCCCAAGCAGGGACAGCTACGCCGTCCAGAGCCAGCTCAGCCACGGGGCACAGCACCCCGAGCAACCGAGGGCTGGAGCTGGGCAGGGCCTACAGCCAGGGAGCACGCCCCCTTCTCGCTCAGGTTCGCACCGAAACCCACCACCGTTTCTGGGTTTCGTTTCTCGGCCAGCGGAGGTGGAAGGCAACTCGGAGCTTTCCGGAAGAGCAGCTGACACTCAGGGCTCTTTCCAGGAGGCCGGGCCAGGCTCGTGCAGGGAAATGGCCTCAGGACATGGCTCCCCAGCTCTGCCTCTGCCACGGACACACCACTGAGACACAGGGTCAGCCCCAGTGAGCCAGCCCTGGACCCTGGGGCCAGCCTCAGGGAGCCCAGTGGTGCACAGTGGGTGGGTGGGGGGCAGTGAGGACGCCGATGCCCATGGCGATCCAGGTTTCGGGCAGCCCCGCGTCAAAAACTTCCAAGAGCCTGATTCCCCGAGTCCAGGCCCCAGAAGCCCCAGAAGCTGGAACTGGCAGTGTCCCGTCCTCCCCAAGCAGCAACCAGAAGGCAGAACAAGGGGCCCCAACTCCTTCCCTCCAAGCACCCTCAGACCAAAGGGCCAGTAGTGCCCAGGGGCAGGGTGGGGCCAGGGGAGGGCCCAAACCCTCAATCCCAAGCACCCTGCAGGGCTGTATCTCCAGGGCTCGGGGCTGTGCCCACGAGCAAGCCTTCACAGCTCACCAACCTTCCTCCCATCGCCACCACAAACGGAGCCCAGGATCCACCTCCCTGCCTCTCGGGCTGTGCCCTGCTTCTAGGTCCCACCGAGGACCCAGACGAGTGTGGTGCCACAGGGGTGGTAACCAGGCAACCCCCATGAGGTGCCCTCCCCCCTCCCCAAGGACTCAAGGCCCCAGCCCCAAGCAGCACCCATGTTCTTATATACAAAACGATTTAATTGAAATACCTGTATAAAAAATATGATCTCCATACATCTCACTTTTGGACCAAAAGAAACCCCACCCACGATGCCCACACACACCGGGGTCACAGGACACAGCTGCTAAAATAAATTAAAGGCTTGCGACTCTCCCCTCCCCCAGCCCCAAGAGCCGACAAGCAGACTGTACAAGGTTGATAATTTAAAACCCACCACCCACAGAGCCCAAGACGGTGGCATCACGCCCTCCCCTTAAATTAACCACTGTACAAGTTCATCATCTGACAGACACAGAGGGAACTGGGGACAGACCACCGGGCACCATGCCCCCTCCCTGCCGCCCCAGGGACCCCAAGAGGCAGGGCTGCTTGGAGGAAGCAAACTTGACAAATAAATTAAACCAATAAATAGTCGTGGGGCCAACGCCGCCGCGAGGGTCACACTATAAATAAGACAGTCCCGCGCGTGCCCGCCATGGGGACCGCCGACGCGGGCATTGCATTGCTTGTGCAGGAACATGCCCAGACGAACACCATGAGACTCAAGAGACGAGGGGACTTGGGAGACAGGGCCCGTGCCAGAGTGCTCCTGGTCCAGACGGAGCAGCGGAGGGGGGGGCGGTCGGGTCTTGGTCTCAGGTTTCCGGCCCACCCAGAGGCCCCCAGACAGGCTCTCTGGAGAGGCGGAGCTGGAGAGACCAAGGCCCCTGGAGCAGCGTTCAAAAAGGCACTCAAAGCGAAGGGAACCAAGGCCCGGTGCCAGGGCAGTGGCCACTAGGGGCCAGCCACTGCCCCCGGCAAGGAGGTGGCCTGGCCGAGGGCTGAGTGTTCCAGAACAGCCAGCAGGGCTGGGCAAGGCAGGTGCCCCCGACTCCCCTGGAGGCCAGCAGGCGCCCAGCTCCTCACAAGCTCTCACTGCTGGAGGTGGTGCTGGCCCCGTCATCAGGATCCAGGGCGCACAGCCGAAGGTCACAGCTCTCCAAGGCGCTCTCCGCCTCCAGCATCCAGGGGTGAGCGGTGATCTGGTCCAGGGTGGGACGCTCTGAAGGCCGCAGGGACAAACACCACTCAATCAGCTGCTGGCACTCTGCGGGAGATGGGAGGTCAGCACAGGAAGTCAGGGTCCGCCACCCGCGCCCCACCGAGCCAGGCCCACACACCTGACGAGACTCTCCTTCGGAAGAAGAGCCGTCCTCTCAGGATCTCCTCGTCCCGCTCAAAGGGGATGTCCCCGCAGACCATGTCGTACAGCAGCACACCCAGAGACCACACGGTGGCTGAGCGCCCGTGGTACCGGTGATGGCGGATCCACTCTGGTGGACTGTACACCCTGGTGCCTAAGGGAGTACAAAGCAATGTTAGGATACCAGCCCAGACCTGGTCACTGCACCCAGAAAATCCTAACAGCTTCAATCCCAACCCGGGAGGGCCAGCCTCAAAATCCTGCTTGTCATCCGTCTGGAAAAACCCCAGCAGCAGGCGGGCTGGAGCTGCCAGACTAAAGGGTGGCACCAGGGCAGCGCCCCCAACTGGCCGCAGGGGGAGGCGCGGGGTCACATGAGCGCATGCTCGGGTTTCACAACAAATAGATATGAAGTCTGGCTCCGAAAAGCCCGTAGAGAGGAGCGGCGGCGGCAACAACAGCAGCAGCAGCAGCGTGGGCCGTCTGCGCCGCCCCCCACCTGGCGGCTGCGGGAGACAGAGGACGACGCGGG